CAGATTACGGGCCTCCCTATAGCTGCTGCAGGCCCCTAATCTGCCATAGGGGCCCCTATATTACCGCCATCCTCATGCTGCTGCCAGGTCCAGAGTCTCTCATGGGTCCCTGTACGCCTCCCATTTTGCTGCTAGTCTCCATCGCCACACTCTGCCATGTGCCACTTTCAGTGTCCTCATCACACTGCTGTGTGTTTGAATTTTTTGACATAGGGTGCTGGGCAGATTTCACGGGCTCCTAAGCTGCTGCCAGACCCCCTAATCTTGCCATGGCCCCTATATACGCCTCCTCATGGCTGCTGCCAAGGTCCAGTCTCTCATGGTCCCTGTACGGCCTCCCATTGCTGCTGTCTCCATCTGCCACCACTCCTGCCATGAGCCACTTTCAGGTCTCCTCACATCTGCAGGTGGGTGTGTTGAATTACTTTTGACATAGGGTGCCACTGGCAAGAATACATGGGCCTCCCATACCCAGCTGCTGCCATGCCCCTAATCTGCCATAGGCCCCTATGCAGTACTCCTCCTCATGCTGCGGCCAGGGTCCAGAGTCACTGTCATGGCTTCCCTGTACGGCCTCCCATTGCTCTGCTAATCTCCATTCGCCACCTATAACCGCCTCCTCCTGCGCGGCATCCACAGTCTCTCAGCCATGTGCACTTTCAGGGTCTCCTCACACACTGCTGGTGTTGTTGAATTTTTTGACATAGGGTTGCTGGCAGATTTACGGCCTCCTATAGCTGGCTGCCAGGCCCCTAATATGCAATAGGCCCCTATATATACCGACTGCCTCATGCAGCTTGCCAGAGACCGAGTCTCCTCATGGGTTCCCCTGCTACGCGCCTCCCAATTGCTGTGTCTCCATCGCCCACACTCTGCCATGTGACACTTTACAGGTCTCCTCTCATCTTGCTGGTCTGGTATGTGTGTGTGTTGAATTTTTGACATAGGGTGCTGGCAGATTACGGGCCTCTCTATAGTCTGCTGCCAGGACCACTAATCTGCCATAGGCCGCTATTATACCGCCTCCTCATGCTGCTGCCCCAGGTCCATAGTGTCTCTCATGGGTCCCTGTTCGGCCTCCCATTGCTACTGTCCACCATCGCCACACTCTGCCATGTGCCACTTTCAGGTCTACTCAACACAGCTGGTTGTGTTGAATTTTTTGACATAGGGTGCTGGCCAGATTAACGGGCCTCCTATTGCTGCAGCCAGGCCCCTAATCAGCCATATTGGCCCCTATTAAAACCGCCTCCTTCATGCTGCAGCCAGGTCCAGTGTCTCCTCATGGGTCCCTGTAGCGGCCCTCCCATTGCTGCTTGACGCCTATTAGGCCACACTCTGCCATGTGCCACTTTCAGGTTTTCCTCACGGCTACACTGATGGTGTGTTGAATATTTTGCACTAGGGTGCTGGCAGATTACAGGCCTCCTATAGCCTGCCTGCAGGCCCCTAATCTTGCCATAGGCCCACTATATAACCGCCTCCTCCTCTTGCTGCTGCCAATGTCCATGAGTCCCTCTCATGTGTCCCTGTAAGGCCTCCCAATTGCTGCTGTCCTCCATCGCCACAACTCTGCCCATGTGACACTTTCAGGTCGCCTCTCATCTGCTGGAGTGTTGAATTTTTTGACATAGGGTTGCTGGCAGGTATTACGGGCGTCCTATAGCTGCTGCCCAGGCCCTTATCTTGCCATGGGCCCCTATATACCGCCTCCTCATGCTGCTGCCAAGGTCCAGAGTCTCCTCATGGGTCACTGTTCGGCCTCACCATTGCTGCTGTCTCCATCAGCCACACTCAGCCATGTGGCCACTTTCAGGTCTCCTCCACACTGCCTGGTGTGATGAATTTTTTGACATAGGGTGCAGGCAGATTTACGGGCTCCTATAGCTGCCTGCCTGGCCCCTAAATCTGCCATAGGCCCCTATTACCGCCTCCTCATGCTGCTGCCAGGTCCAGAGTCTCTCATGGGTCCCTGTTACGGCCTTCCCATTGCTGACTGTCTCCATCGCCACACCTCTGCCATGTGCCACTTTCAGGTTCTCCTCACACACTCGGCTGGTGTGATTGAAATTTTTTTGACATAGGGTGCTGGCAGATTAACGGGCCTCCTATAGCTGCTGCCAGGCACCTAATTCTGCCATAGGCCCCTATATACCGCCTCCTTATCATGCAGCTGCCAGGTCCAGAGTCTCTCATGGGTCCCTGTACGGGCCTCCCATTGATGCTGTCTCCATCGCCACACTCTCTGCCATTGTGCCCCCAACTTTACATGGTCCTCCTCACACACTGGCTAGTTGATGTTGAATTATTTTTGACCATAGGGTGCTGGCCAGATTAACGGGCCCACCCATAGCTGCAGCCAGGACCCTAATCTGACTTGGGCCCTATATACCGCCTCCTCTTGCTGCTGCCAAAAGTCCAGAGTCTGTCATGTGGTCCCTGTATCTGCCTTCCAGTGCTGCTGTCTCCATCATACCACACTCTGCCATGTTGCACTTTCAGGGTCACCTTCACTGCTGGTGTGGTGGGTGTTGGAGATTTTTTTTGGACATAGGGTGCTGGCAGATTACGGGCCTCATATAGCTGCTGCCAGGCACCTATTCTGCCAAATGGCACCTATATAACCGCCTCCTCATGCTGCTGCCAAGGATCCAGGAGTCTATCGATGGGTCCCTGTACGGCCTCCCATTGGCTGCTTGTCTCCTTCGCCACACTCTGCCATGCGGGGGGTGCCCACTTTCAGGTCTCGCACACACTGCTGATGTGTTGGAATTTTATGGACATATGGGTGCAGGCAGATTACGGGCCTCATATTTAGCTTGATGCCAAGGCCCCCTAATCTGACATTGGCCCCTAGTATTCCGGCCTCCTCATGCTGCTGCCATGTCCAGAGTCTCTTAATGGGTACCCTGATACGGCCTCACCATTGCTGCTGTCTCCATCGCCATACTCTGCCATGTGCCACCTGTTCAGGTCGCCTCACACTGCTGGTGTGTAGAATATTTTGGACTTAGGGTGCTGGAGCAGATTACGGGCCTCCCGTCTTACGTTCTATAGCTCCCTGGCAGCAGAACAACCGTATTCTTCCCTAGGCACCTAATGTCTTCACGCCTATCCCCCTCATAGCTGCTGAAGGCCCCTAGGTCTGCATAGGCACTATTATACCGTCTCCTCATGTTGCTGCCAGGTCCAGAGTATCTCATGGGTCCCTGTTCGCCTCCCATTGCTGCTAGTCTCATCGCCACACTCTGCCATGTGCCACTTTCATGGTCTCCTCACACTGCTGGTGTGTTGAAATTTTTTTGACATACGGGTGCAGGCAGATTACGGGCCTCCTATAGCTGCTGCCCAGGCCCCTTAAACTGCCATAGGCCCCTCCTTTATAACCGCCTCCTCATGCTGCTGCCAAGGTCCAGAGTCTCTCAAGGGGTCCCTGTACGACCTCCCATTGCTGCTGTCTCCATCGCCTCACCCACTGCCATTGGCCCACTTTCAAGGTCTCTTCACACACTGCAGGTTGGTTTGTTATGTTGAATTTTTTGACATAAGGGTGGCCTGGCCAGATTACGGGCCTTCCCAATAGATGCTGCCAGGCCCCTAATCTTGCCAAGGCCCTCCCTATTTACCGGCCTCCTCATGCTGTCTGCCAAGTCCAGAGTCTGTCATGGGTCCCTGTACGGCCTCCCATTTGCTGCTGTCTCCATCGCCTCACTCTGCCATGTTGCCAACTTCAGGTCTCCTCTCACTGCTTGGATGTGTTGAATTTTTTGACATCAGGGTGCCTTGGCCAGATTACGGGCCTCCTATAGTTTTTTTTTGGGGGCTGCCAGGCCCCTAATCTGCCCATAGGGCCCCTATATACCGCCTCCTCATGCTGCTGTCCAGGTCCAGAGTCTCTCATGGGATCCCTGTACGGCCTCCCATTGCTGCTGTCCTTCCATGCGCCACACTCTGCCATGTGACACTTTCAGGTGGTCTCCTCACACACTGCTTGGGGTTGGTTGGAATTTTGTGACATAGGTGGGGGCTGGCAGATTACGGGCCGCCTATTAGCTGCTGCCAGGCCCCTAATCTGCCATAGGCCCATTTATACCGGCCTCCTCATGTGCAGCCAGGTCCAGAGTCACTCATGGGTCCCAGTAAAGGCCTCATATTGCTGCTGTCTCCATGCCACACTCTGCCATGTGCCACTTTTCAGGTCTCCTCACAATGGTGGTGTGTTGAATTTTTGACATAGGGTGCAGGCAGATTACGGGGGGCCTCCTATAGCTGCTGCCAGGCCCCTAATCTGCCATAGGCCCCTATAATACCGCCTCCTCCAAGCTGCTGCCAGGTCCAGACGTCTCTCAGGGTCCTGTACGGCCTCCCATTGATGCTGTCTCCATCGCCCACTCTTGCCATGTGCCACTTTTCAGGTCCTCCTACATGCTGGTGTGTTGAATTTTTGACATAGGGTGGCAGATTACGGGCCTCATATAGCTGCTGCCAGGCCCCTAATCTGCCATGGGCCCCTAAATACCGCCTCCTCATGCTGCTGCCAGTCCAGAGTCTGTCATGGGTCCCTGTATGGCTCCCATTGCTGCTGTCTCCATCGCCACACTCTGCCATGTGCCACTTTCAGGGTCCCCTCACACTGCTGGTGTGTTTGAATTAATTTTTTGACATAGGGTGCACAGGCAGATTTACGAGGGCCTCACTATAGCTTCCTGCCAGGCCCCTAATCTGCCAAGGGCCCCTATATACCCGCCTTCCTCATGCTGCTGCCAGGTCCAGAAGTCTCTCATGGGGTCCCTGTTACGGCCTTCCCATTGCTGCTGTCTCATCGCCACAACTCTGCCATGTGCCAATTTCAGGTCTCCTCACTCACTGTGGTGTGTTGAATTTTTTGTACATAGGGTGCTGGCAGATTACGGGCCTCCTAAAGACTTGCTGCCAGGGCCGAATCTGCATAGGCCCCTATATACCGCCTCCTGCATGCTGCTGCCAGTCCAGAGTCTCTCATGGGTCCCTGTACGGGTGCCTCCCATTGCTGCTGTCTCCATCGCCACACTCAGCCATGTGCCACTTTCAGGTCTCCTCACATGTGGTGTGTTTATTTTTTGACTTGGGTGAGGGCAGATTAGGGCTAAAATGTGTTGAATTTTTTGACTAGGGTGCTGGCAGAAGTCTTTTGGGTCTGTGGCCTCCTAATAGAATTGCTGCCCCAGGGTCTCTCCCTAATCTGCCATAGGCCCCTATATACCGCTCCTCATGCTAGTTGCCAGGTCCAGGAGTCCCTCTCATGGGTCCCTGTGTGCATTACAGTGTATTTCAGGCCTCCCCATTGCTGCAGTCTCCATCGCCACACTCTGCCATGTGCCCTTTTCAGGTCTCCTCCACACACTGCAGGTGTGTTGAATTTTTTTGACATAGGGTGCTGGCAGATTACCGGGCCACCCATCGCAGGCGTGCCAGGCCCCTAATCTGCCATGGGCACCCAGTACCGCCTCCTCATGCTGCAGCCTGGTCCACAGTGTCTCATGCCATGTGCACTTTTCAGGTCTCCTCACACTGCTGGTGTGTTCCATTTTTTTGTCATAGGGTTGCTGGCAGATTACGGGCCATCCCATAGGCTGCTGTCCAGGCCCCTAATCTGCCCATGGGCCCCCGTTCCGGACTCCCTCATGAATGCTGCCGAGGCCGTTAATCTGTCATGGGCCCCTGTTGCCGCGTTGTTGGCATATTCCGCACGTTCAGATGCTCCTTCACCTGCTACTCCTCTTTCACGGAGGATCCGTCAAGCAGTCATTTCTGGAATCCGTTTCCAAGAGAAAACAGGTTTGCGAGCTCGCACCCGACGGTGCAGAAGCTTGAACGTCCTCTCCTGTCCAAGTAGCAGCTGCCAGGCTCGTAAGTATGCCATGCGCCCCTGTACCGCCTCCTCATGCTGCTGCCGGGTCCAGAGTGTGTCATGGGCCCCCGTACCGACTCCTCTTGCTGCTGCCAGGCCCGTAATCTGTCATGGGCCCCTGTACCGCCTCTCCCCATTTGCTGCTGCGCAGGTCCAGAGTGTGTCATGGGTCCCTGTACGGCCTCCCCATTGCTGCTGCCAGGCCCGTAATCTGCCATGGGCCCCATACCGACTCCTCATGCTGCTGCCAGGCCCATAATCTGTCATGGGCCCCTGTACCGCCTCCTCATGCTGCTGCCAGGTCCATGAGTGTTGTCATGGGTCCCTGTACGGCCTCCCATTGCTGCTGTACTCTATCGCCACACTCGTTGACCATGTGCCACTTTCAGGTCTCTCCTCACACTGCTGGTGGTTTCCATTTTTGTCATAGGGTGCTGTATGGCCTCCCATTGCTGCTGCCTCCACCGCCAACACACTGTGGCTACACACTCTGGTTTTGGCCCCGTGACTGCCCAAATGAAGTGAAGTGTGCGGTTGATTTCTAAGATCGACGGCACTCATCTGCATGTGATACTGACTGACAGTATGTATTTCTCTGTTCAACAGCAGACTCCAAGGCATTTAAATTAAATGGGTACAGTGTTCCTGCACTAATATTATTAAGTCTCTGAAGCCTAGAAACAACCCTTTTTTAAGTTAAATTCACAGCGAATTATATTCGACTCGAATCAAAATTTTTCACGAATTCGCCGAATCAGTCGAATCGAATTTTTGATTACTTCGCTCATCTCTACTCATATTATTCTCTTTTAGAACCGTTTGACTCATATTATACTCTTTTAGAACCACTTGACTCATATTATACTATCTTTTTGAACAGTTAGACTCATACTATACTCCTTTTTGAACTACTTGACTCATATGTTATACTCTTTTAGAACCGTATGTCTCATATTATACTCTTTTAGAACCGTATGACTCAGAATTATACTCTTTTAGTACCACTTGACTCATTATTATACTCTTTTAGAACCACTTAACTCGATATTATACTCTTTCAGAACCGGTATGACTCATAATTATACTCTTTTAAAACCGTTGCCCCCATCCTCGCTCATGACTTATATTATACTCTTTTTGAACCGTATGACTCATATTATACTCTTTTAGAACCCTCTTTGACTCATTTTATACTCTTTTAGAAACCGTATGACTCATTTAATATACTCTTTTAGAAGAACCCTTTGACTCATATTATATTCTTTTAGAACCATTTGACTCATATTATACTCTTTTAGAACCATTTGACTCCTATTATACTCTTTTAGAACCCTTTGACTCATTTTTACCTTTTAGAACCGTATGACTCATATTATTCTCTTTTAGAAACCATTTGACTCTTTTAGAACATACTACCTTTTGTTGTTTGAAAACTACTTGGCATACGTTACACTATAATTTCCATTTTAATCTTCTTCAGGATCTGCAGTGAACCCCGTGGTCACCTTCACACCGAATTGGAGGAAGATCTTTACAGGAGAATCTATATCAATGACGTGTGATGTGGGATCCACTGGAGGAAGAGATCTGATTATTACTGGTACAAAAGATGGTAAACGGATGTACACAGGAAAACTCTTCACCATTAGATCTGCAAAAACTGAACACAGCGGGGACTACAAATGCGGGACCGATACAGAAAGTAGCGGCACTGCCAGACTGGATGTTGATGTTGGTCAGTTCATTATTTTAATGTGTTTTTTGCCAATGGCAGAAAAAAAGAGGGATGAGCTGTGGGTTCGTTCCAATATCCCGGTAACGTCACCCTATAAATGTGGACATATCCATCTGCGACAAGTGTGCTTGGTTGTTTCCAGGGGCGGACTGACCATTCGAGCACTCAGGCACTGCCCGAGGGCCCAGGGCCAGTAGGGGGCCCAATGAGATGCCCCTGGTACCTTCCATTGACTTTTTCATAGGCTTTTTTGGGTGTGGGCGAGGACACAGGGGCCCCATAATCCCCTATTGCCCCGGGGGCCCCCATGAGTTGTCAGTCCGCCCCTGGTTGTGTCTGTCCTGTTACCTTCATCCGCTCACTCGTGTGATGTGATTCTGTGTTCCAGACCCGGTGATCCTGCAGGTTCCTCTTCACACTCATGAAGGAGATGATCTGACTCTGAGATGTCACCATCGTTCTGACTACACGGAAGTATATACATTATTCCGCAAAGAGGATTCTATCATTCAAGGCCGGAGATACACATCCGTGTTACATGTAGGAATTGTAAACACGATGGGCACCGTGAAATACCAATGTACAAAGGAAATAAAGAAAGCCACCTTGTATAGGCATGTCATTTCCACAGATGAAGCCTTTATCTACATACAAAGTAAGTCGTAGGATTTTTACATATCTACCCTTCAACCCCTTGCTTACGATGACCACTTTCAGAGGATATAAATGGCAGGAGGTAGAGATGGGCTTTCTGATATTGTGACTGTTGTGATTGGTTGTCACAGTGGTCACATGAGGTTCTCAATTGCAAGTATGAATCAGGAGCTGCCCATGACAGCTTAAGCTGGCCATAGATGGATCAGCAGAGATTGTACCCAAGTTGATCCAACGATTGACTTGAGTACAACCAATTTGTCACTTTTTTAGCATGCAATCACTGCCTGTGGCTATGGCTGCTAGCAGTAATCATTGTATTCTCCCAGCAGGGATGGCTCCCTTCAGGGAGAACACAATGGCTCTACGGGAGGGATTCCCCCATCAGCACTGACAGTGTTGATTGGGGAATCAAGCTATTTTTTTTTCCTGCAATGAAAATGACATAATCTATGACTTGTTTAGTTACTGAGAGGGTGCAGTGAGCGCACAACAAAGCCATTCCCATAGACACATACACTATATTGCCAAAAGTATTGGGACACCGCTGTTAATCATGTGATTCAGGTGTTCCAATCCCCTCCATGGACACAGGTGTATACAATCCATCCCCTAGGCATGCAGACTGCTTCTACAAACATTGGTGAAAGAATGGGTCGCTCTCAGGAGCTCAGTGACTCCAAGCGTGGTCCCGTGATAGGTGGCCACCTGTGCAATAAGTCCATCCGTGACATTTCCTGGCTACTAAATATTCCACGCTCAACTGTTAGTGGGATTATAACAAAGTGGAAGCAACTGGGAACAACAGCAACTCAGCCACCAAGTGGTAGGCCACGCCACATGACAGGGCGGGGTCAGCGCATGCTGAAGCGCACAGTGCGCAGAAGTCGCCAACTGTCTGCAGAGTCAATAGCTAAAGACCTCCAAACTTGGTGTGGCCTTCAGATGAGCCCAACAACAGTGCGTAGAGAGCTTCATGGAATGGGTTTCCATGGCCGAGCAGCTGCATCCAAGCCTTCCATCACCAAGTGCAATGCAAAGCGTTGGATGCCGTGGTGTAAAGCACACTGCCACTGGACTCTAGAGCAGGGGAGATGTGTTCTCTGGAGTGGTGAATCACGCTTCTCTGTCTGGTAATCCAGTACATGTTTCTGGGTTTGGTGGTGGCCAGGAGAACAGTACTTGCCTGACTGCATTGTGCCAAGTGCAAAGTTTGGTGGAGGGTGGATTATGGTGTGGGGTTGTTTTTCAGGGGTTGGGCTTGGCCCCCTAGTTCCAGTGAAGGGAACTCTTAAGGCATCAGCATACCAAGACATTTTGGACAATTTCATGCTCCCAACTTTGTAGGAAGAGTTTGGGGATGGCCCCTTCCTGTTCCAACATGACTGCGCACCAGTGCACAAAGCAAGGTCCATGAAGACATGGAGGAGCCACCCGCGCCCCCCCATCCTCTCCATCACTACTAACAACGCCACCATCTCTCCCACCCCCACACGCCAAAGTCCTGGGTGTCACCCTGGACTCCCACCTCTCCTTCCTACCCCACATCCAACTGCTATCTAGATCTTGCAGGCTCCACCTCCGCAACATCTCCAAGATACGCACATTCCTCACACCCAAACACCACCAAACAACTCGTACACTCCCTCATCATCTCACGCCTGAACTACTGCAATTCCTTCTCACTGGCCTACCCAAACAAATGCTATCCCCACTCCAGTCGATCCTAAACTCAGCGGCTAGACTCATCCACCTCACCAACTGCTCCACATCTGCCTCCCCACCTCTGCCAATCCCTTCACTGGCTCCCGATTGCCCAACGCATCAAATTCAAACTGCTAACCCTGACCTACAAAGCCATTCACAATGCCGCTCCAAAATACATACCTGACCTGATACCCAAATACTACCCTACCCGTGCCCTCCGCTCCTCACAGGACCTCCTACTCTCTAGCTCCCTGGTCTCCTCCTCCCACACCCGATTGCAGGACTTCTCTAGGACTTCCCCCATTCTCTGGAACTCCCTACCCCAATCCATCAGACTGTCACCCACCCTCCTCACCTTCAGGCGCACCCTGAAAACCCTCCTCTTCAGGGAAGCCTACCCCAACCTCACCTAACACCTGACCTCACCTAACAACCTCTTCCACTCCTCTTGAACCCCTTGTGTATTGTATTGTTACTGTCTTGTATCATGTTCTGTCCCCCTTGATACTGTACAGCGCTGAGCATACCCTTTGGCGCTATATAAATACCGTATAATAATAATATTAATAATATAAACATATATATATAATTTGTTTTTATTAATTATTATTATTTGTTTAGGTTAAGTTTAATTTTTTTTTGTTTTTCACTTAACTTCACACTGTGATTACTTTTTAGAGCTATTTGAAATTCCAGAGATAAAAATGACCCCGTATCCATTGGTAGAAGGTGATGAGATGACCCTGACATGTGACACCAGTCTCAGTCCTCTCAGACCGAGGACAGAACTGAAATTTTCTTTTCACAAAGATGGATGGAATATCAAAGAATTCTCTTCGTATAATCAGTACGGAGTTCAATCTGCTCAGGTGAAGAACTCTGGGAAATATCCTGTGAAGCGGCAACTGCAGCCAACACTGTAAAGAAGAGGAGTCAGGAGATATTGGTTGAGATACATGGTGAGTCAGTCATACCAACCAAAGGATTGAGTAACATTTTTTAAACCAGAATACTCGGGTTTGTAAGGATGAACCATCATCTTGCTCCAAAATGTTTTAGTAATAACATCCATTTAGAACTACAGTAATCCCTAAAAGCCAGCAAATAAACAAACCTCTTGGGTTGAGAATAAACGGTGAGTCAACCAGGACCAGCCAAAGGATTAGGTAACATATTTCAAACCTAAATCAGAAGACTCAGGTTTGTGAGGATCAGCATTTAATAATGAATTTATGAGTCATCTTCTAACTCCATACTTGGTGATGATGCCCAATCTCAGCTGTAATAGCCCCTAAAAAACCAACAGATGGACAAACCTCTTGGTATGTAGCACCCCCTCATCCCTTGGAGGCTTTTGGGGACCCTGGAATGGCTTTGTGTGCTGACCACATTAGGGTTGGGTCTTTGACTCGTGTGGGGTATGAGGAAATTGGGGGCCGGTCACTTTAAGACAGTTCAACAGGGTTTATTATATGACCAAATAAATTCGGGGAGAGAGAGTGATTAGGGCACATGATACCCAAAGGACAAGAAATGCTGACTCTGACTTTCTACATATGGTCA